AACAGCCGGGGCAAAACCATCCCACGGATCGCCCATCTCTAGCAGAGAAGTTGCGCAAGCGGATGGTCACAGGGCACAAATCGAGAAGGTCAAGGCAAAAGTTACTTGCTAATTAATCACAAATCGACAACCAAGTCAGCTGATTACGTTTGACCCAGCAGCACACTGAGGAAGTCACCTCGTGTGGTGATGAAACGTTTGCATACCAATTGCGAAGCTCGGCGAACAGTCGAACCCAGGAACCATCAACCCGGACCACCAGGTAAACCTACTGACTACGCGTCACCGGATAGAGCTCGGATCAGCGTTCACATTTGTATTACGTCACCCTAATCCCCGCTTCCTCCGTTTCGCCGAGGCCGTTGCGGTAAACCGGATGAAGCCGGCTCTGTGTGTTCAAAAGCAATTATTCATCAGCTTAAGACTGCCGTGGACATAAGGGTGGAACTTCCGTCATTCATTTTGCACCTCATGCTTATTCGGTCACACGCATATTTAAGTATATAGTTGCATACCGGTTACTGTTAATGGTACGGATGAGACAATACGAAATGCATGCATCTGCCAGTTTTCGTCTTCTTACCGTGCTTTTCAAATTTCTGAAGGGAACTAAATGCTTTAAATTTCAAGAAATATTATTTAGTACTCGATTTGTTGACTATGAACTTCATCATCCGCATATAGCGGCGCTGCGACTAACGGGGATCTCAATCATTTTAACTGATGAGTAGCGTGTTTTGAGCATAATCTCGTCGAAATTTGCCGACATCTTTGATACCTTACTCGAGTATAAGTCACTGGCCAGGTTGATAGACCTACCGACAATGCTGTAGTAGCGCATAGGCAGCAACAGACCAAACATACCTCCACGGATGACATGGCTAGAGATCGAACAATAGTGTTCGCTGTCTTAAAACAACCACCGAATTAGAATGATAGCCAAACGAATCGTTGATCTCAGCAATCGGCTTATGAAGCGTATGTTGTCCACTCGTAAGACACTCGCAAAATTACATTTGCATAGTTAGAGTAGAACAATTTTGCAATGTAATACAAATAATGCGGTTCTTTGATTATTAATGATCGTTTGTCTACGATGCCTTGTTTCATGAAATTAACACAGTTCATCAGAATCTGTTTCCTTTGTGAATGCGATGAACCAGTGGCAAGCACTGACCTCCCGTTTGGGATCACTGTTATGATGTGAGTGTTTCCAACCTCTAGCTAACGTGTCTAATGTTGCTGCCGATGACGTCCTCTTTTTTCGATGGATAGTTCAAGTATGTTCTACTCCCGCAAGGAGTGGCATCCATTCGCTTCTTGGAACTGTTTGACAGCTATCCTTATTTCCCAACAGTCAGATTGCGATGAATGGTGTCACTCTTAATTGGCGGTCGAAATAGCGCTTGCGTAATGACCACAATGCTTAATCCTCTCAACGCACTTCAGGGTTGGCGGCTGCCGCTGTCGGGGAAATTTCGCAAGCTGTCGAGAATCATCCGGGCTACCGGCTGCAAAATGCCCAACGTCTCTGAGGTTATCACTAGGCTTATAGATTATTGATTAATGTACTGCTTGGGTGTATGGACAGTTGGGCCGATCGCATGCCCTGCATTGTTTCACTTGAGTCGTCTAACGGAGCGAGGAGTTGCATTCAGAATTAGCGCAAGTAGCGCTTCAGTTCTCCTAACCTAGGCGGCCACCAGAGTTGTTCACCCTAGCTGGTGTACGGATCCTCATACAGTAACTATCTCTGTTTTCCATAGTATGACATGAAAAAACAGTCCCCTCATCCTTTGACAAGACGGTCATTTCCTCGATTGTTTAGAAGGCTTGTACTTTATGCGCCAATTACAGAAGGATTGGTGTCATTTCGGTCTCCTCCGAACTACGTTTGTCCCACACTTCCACTTTCCACACGTTCCACACGTTTTCTCCAACTCACGAATTATTCCTGCAAACGGCAAACTCGCCCACAATGCGCTTCGTCCCCTCAGCCACACTGGCGTTCAAACGGGCCTAATTTTCGGCTTCCGTGCACTTTTTCTAAACAGCCTGAACTGTTTAACCGTCCTGATTCTTGCTGATCGATACATATCCCCTGACCTGGCTCATGAATCGAATTGTTCCGCTGATACTCTTTGTGCGTCCGACCTTTACCTTTTGATGTTTCTGTTGCCTCCAAATCCCTCAGGGCACTATCAGTTCAGTCGTCAATGTTGCACCCACTTCGACTTAAGCGGCTGCAAATTACTGGGGACGGTGCAATTCTCATTGGGTCGGACCTATTTGCTATAGATGCCCAACTGAAAGATTAACATATAGCGCTACGTGCTTCAATCTGTGCTCTGCATTTTTGAAGTACAACATCACCAGTACCGATCAACCACCCAAAGTAATTCATTATGTTTATTAACCTCGATGTCTGCATCGGTTTTGGCACGTGTATCTCAGGCTTATGCGGCTTTTCAAAGCCCATACCATTTACGGCGACGACGGAATATAAGCTTTTTGAACTGTTGTTGGTTTATAACGGTGTTGTGCAATCAGTCTTACTGTATGGATGTAAGACATGACCACTGCACTGAGGACATTAGGATGACATGAGTGCACAAATCGGTGGTCTTCCGGATTCTAAGCAGCACCTAGGAGGCTGTTCTTGGGTTGATGCAGGTCAAACAGACAATCACGATCGATTTCTGCAACTATGTGCTGCAGCACTGCTTTCCAACACACATCGCGTCACCTGGCACCCACCGAATTCCACGATGGCCTGAACCAAAATGGGCCATATCGCCATCGGTCGCAGATAGCGCGCATCGGTCCAAGACTGTCGGTCGATTTACGGCGCGTGTCTGGATTGCGGTCATACTCTAATGTGCGCATTCTTAGCGTTCACTCTTCCAGCTTCAAAGAAGCGCTTTACCTCCAACCTTCTCCTAACCTGAACTCGCCGTCTGCAGTTCGACAATATCATGACGAAGTGAACCACCAGTTGTCAGTGATGAATGAGGTTGCTGAGCCTAACGTTGACTGCAATTGTCTCAAGCGTCCGATTAAGAATGCTTTTGACGCTTGCTATACGCTTAACCTGAGACCTTTTAATGCATCTCCGATACATCGATCGATTTGCTCGAAGCATGGAAACAGGTTCATGTGGGTACAGATTTTCAGCCTGCTGGTGACGCCTTGAAATGACGACTGACAAGGAATTTTCGAATCGACCAGGAACGTTGGTATATGGTCTGGGCCCGTGAGATGGAGAAAGCCAGGGCCATTGGAAATAGTCAAGCGCTGTTCCAACTCATCCGAAACATGGGTCCAAAAAAGTCATTAGTTAGTGAGGCGATAGCTCAGGAAGATAAGCTGTTGATCCATTCTTAGCCGCGTCGACGATTCTGTCGGTGCGACACTTCCGTTAACTATAATGCCTGGAATTCGTGAGTATGTTTGTAGCTCGGGATACGGATGAATATATGCGGGTGTTCTCCGAGCTGGATGATTTGGTTGCGTTAATCTTGTTTCCACTGCCTCCAAATTTCGCATGGGTATTACTGTTCAACAACTTACTGGTCTTTCTTAAAGCCGAATCACTGAAAGCCAAGCTGACTTCCACCCTGCTCATGGTTGTATCGACCACATGTTTACTCTTCGCTTACAAATAATTGACTATGGTCTTTTCCCCTGACCTAAAAGACGCCTGTTCCGTTGATCGTACCAGCTTGCGACACTGCCTGTTCGTGAGAGGAGTATCTGAAGAACTTTTTATCCCGAAGTTTCCCTACCGTTACTCCCGACGTCGAGTGAGAGTCTACGAGAAGTCTTTTCCTGACTTCCTCTTGGCAATTGGGGTTCGTCAGGGTTGTCCTATATTTTTCTTCAATTTTGTGATCGAAATGATCATCAATGATTGTTCTTTCAGACTGTTCCTGAGTGGTGGATTCGGCGACCTTACAGGCAGGGTGGGTGCGTTGGTGTGATTTCCGCGTATCTATGTATCAGCGCATGCTCAAACAAGCCTGGTTGCTTGACATATGCGTTTAGTGGTGTTTGGCACTAAAGTCTCAATGCCTCATTGGAGTGTATGTTGAACTCGAACCATTTCCATTGGCTCGATCATTTACTCTCCATGCCTGAAAATCAGCTGCTTTGACTTGTATTGTTTACCAATGCTTCATGTAGATGGGTGAGACTCCCTAGGTAGCCAATCACTGTTACGGCTGAAAGCATGAAGAAACTTACCGAATGGCTTATTTGAGTTCACTCTTGTTTTGCTGTCGACCACATCAGTGGTTGAGCAGCTTTGCGACTATGGCACGGTCACAAAGTTGCAAGCCTTAGTGCACTCGTTGTCCTATCTTGGACCCTTGCTTGTTCCATTGGACGTTTGATCATTGTTCATTCCTCATGGATTATTACCATTCGTATTATTATTACTATTACTGTTATTATTTTGGCAGTGCACTCCGACGTACCAACCAAAGTTGATGCACTGGATCGCATTTTTGCTTATACGCCCCCCACTTTGACGTGATGTCACTCGGCAATGAAACGCAGTCATAGTACTGTCAGATATTGAGCTTAAGCCATGAATGGCACCAGTCTTTGATGCGACTTATTGGTATCCGACTTCATTGGCTTTAAAAAGATCAGCCGTGCTGTTTCGTTTCCGTATTGAAATAACTATGAATTCGTTTTGTTTTATTTGCATATCTTCGTTTTATTCAGTTTGTTACCAGTGTATTCCAACAGAAACTTTTGGAGAAAAAGCGATGCACTTTTAGAGGGGGGTTGTGAAAATATTTATTCAAATTGGTTATAAAGAAGTAAAGCCAATATGGGAGCGGAGGGAATAACTGGTTACTTCACGTACACTATGAGTGGCGGTATCACCAGCACTTACCTCGGGTTAACATTTCTCCAAACTACACTTGGGCACTTTTGATGAGCGTCATGTGTTGCCAATTTTAGTATACACTCTTTTCATTTGGACTTTTCAGGCAACTACTTTCATGCAGATCTGGTTTTGGCTTCGAAAAAGAGCAGCTTGTACAACCACGCTCGTCGTCGCTGTCGCCAACTGCGCTGTGATCCATCACACAAACGCTCACACAGCAACCTGGGTACGAATGGAACTGGCATGTTTCGTGTGTCGGCAGCCTGCAGTGATGGGTACTTGCATGTCACTCGTGATCGTATCTGCTTCACCACCGGGCCCAACTGCGCTAGACCTCGTATTTTGGCCTGTTGGAGCTTTGAGAACGACGATCTGATCCAGTGTGGTACCGCACGTGCGAAAAGTGAGGTGATCGAATCAGATTCGTACTTTTTCCTTACCGCCTCACCGGATCATCCTGAGGCCCCCGGGGGCCACTTGTTCATTTCCGATAGGGCAAATGATCTATGCGAGCGGATCGAGACCAACAGTCGTACTGCTATTTATCAGGCAGAATGGCGTCGATTCACTTCAATCGCCATGGTGTTGGACACTACCTGCCTGCCATCCTCGCCCACCACTGCTTCGCCGCAGCACACGGTAGTCAATCCTCCTCCAAACGGCCTGATTGAGCATCCGCCTTCATTTACCGTTCTCCGTTCCACCAACCTTTCGAATCTGCGCTCCAAGCAATGCTTATCTCATGGGTGTCACCCTTCCTTTTGTCAACATCCTATGCCTGAACATACATCTGAATGTGGCCAAGAACAGGGTGCATCGAATCCGGTGGGTTCACACTTCTCTTAAATTTTCCACTGTTTAATTTTTACTCACTTTCGATTTTAGGATAATGCACGCTGCATTCGCGTTGCTCTAACCATGTACCACTACGCCCACTTTGTTCTTCCTCTTTCAATGTTGTTCTCGAGACGCTCATAATCATCTCTGTCCCCTTAGCCCCCTTTGAAATGGAAGCCTTGCATGGTTACCAGCCGACACACCTTGAGTATATGGATGCCATTGTTATCCTTCGACCAAATTTAGCTACTGGGAAAACGACAGCAAGTTCTGCTTGAAGAACCATTTAAGTTCGGGCGGCACTTGCCCGAACATTGGAGACCCTCTCGATCGATATATGCTGCTTATCAGAGACCCGCCTGCAAGACTCGAGCTCTGTGCTCACTCTGCGATCCCCTTCAGGTGACGCAAGCAGTATTTTCTCATTGCGCCTATCCGGTGACGATGCAGCTTCGAGCACCGGCCAAGCTGGTGTTGGCATTGCTCTGAGTCCCTGGACTGAAGCTGCTCTGGTTGATTGGATTCCAATCAGTAGCCGGATGTGTGCGGTCCGATTGGCTGGCTCGCTCAAAGCTTCGAAGTTGCGCGGGCCTAATAGGTGTCTATTCATCATCGCTATCTACGCGCCCACAAACTGTAGCGATGATTCGGTAAAGAACGACTTCTATCGCCAACTGACTCAGCTCCTTCGCCACAGAAGAAGCACGGACACTGTTGCGCTGGCGAGGGATCTGAACGTTCAAGTTTGAAAATTATCCACTGATGAGCTGCATCTGGGCGGCCAACATGTTGTAGGCTCCCGTAATGATAACGGTGAGCGGTTACTTCATTTGTGTGAGGATGCTCGCTTATTTCTTGCGAGCACTAATTTCCGACACAGCACCCGCCGGAGGGTGACTTGGCGCTCACCAGCCTTGGACGCAGATCGATCATATTGCAATCAGTTACCGCTGTAGAGGTTGCATCCAGAACTGTCGCTCGATTTGCAGCACATGTGTGGACACCGATCATACACTTGTATGTGCTGACATGCGGATACATTTTAGCGGACGCCCACGGCGACGCTGTGAACGCATTGACACCAGCCAACTGACAAAGCCAGCTGTTCTGAATGCCTATCAAAGTATGCTGACATGCGAGTTGAGTAAGCGCTCACTGGAGACAATTGATGGTCACTGGTCACATGTTCGCCACACCTTACTAGCAGCAGGCAAATCCTTATGTGGTATGTCTAATAGCCAACATGGGTCTCTTTGCGGTTTCTGCAACTTATCGACGCTCACCGTCATATCCCGGCTGGAAGCGAACACAATGAAACTCGCAAAGAACTCTGGGCAAGACTCCGTGCTAGCCTTAAGAGATACCGCGAATCTTGGTGGTCTCATCGTGCGTCAGAGATGGAAGTGGCCGCTTCCCTTGGTAACCATCGGAAGTTATTCCGTCTGATACGAGAAACGGGCAGCAGGAGACCTGGTGTTAGTGAAACAATTTGTGATGAGAGTGGACAGCTTATCCACAATTTATCAAAATGTTTGTAGCGTTGGGTTGAGCATTTTGAAAAGCAATTTAATCGGCTAAAATTGTTCGATTCTTCGCCGGTCACTGATCGCCCCGCTCCGTGGGCTGTCCCTTTGGATCCACCCTCTCGCTCAGAATGCGAACGTGAGATCGGACTGTTGAAGTTGAACAAAGCCGCGGGACCAGATGATCTTCCTCCAGCCCTCTTCAAATTCAGAGGCTCTGCTCTTGTTGATGCTTTACATGAATTACTAGTGAAACTGTGGGGGCAGGAGACTGTCCCAACCGACTGGAGCCGCTCTCGTTATTGTTCCCATCTTCAAAGGAGGCTTCTGTTCGGAATGCGGCAACCATAGAGGAATCAGTCTGATCTCCACCGCCTCCAAATTACTCGCCTCCATAATTCTTCACAGACTGCCTGGCGTTCCTGAAAACCAGATTCGTTAGGAGCAAGCCGAGCTTCGTTGGGGTCGTGGCTGCATCGACCACATCTTCACCTTGCGTCAGTTGTTGGAGCAACGTCACACATATTGGCGGCTCACCGTAGTCGTGTTCCTCGACATAAAAGGTGCCTTCGGTTCGGTTGATCGATGTGCCCTTTGGAATTTTCTACTCAGGAAAGGTGTGCTCGAGAAATATGTAAATGTGATCAGAGCATTATACGCGCGTAGCACGGGCAGAGTGAGGGCTTACGGCAAGCTGTCACCACCCTTCAATATCTCCAGCGGTGTGAGACAAGTATGCCCGCTGTCACCTTTCCTCTCCAACTTCGCTGTTGACGAAGTCCTTTAGATTGCATTTACAGGACATGACTTGAAAGATGTGGAGCTACTCCCAGGAGAACGACTTCTTGACTTGGAGTATGCAGACGACGTTGCCCTCATCTGTGACAGCTCCCAGACGTACCAAGCCGCGCTGGACAGGTTATCACTGTCTGTCAACCGCTTCGGGCTTTGCTTTGCACCATCGAAATGCAAAGCGTTTCTCCAAGATTGGCAGGGATCGCCTCCTGTGCTGAACCTTGGTGGGGATCAGCTAGAAGTCGTTCGGAAATTTAACTACCTGCGAAGTTGTATCAGCGCCCTTGGGATCGAAAACGAGATCACGAACCGTATAGCGAAAGCTCGGAGTGCTTTTGCTGACCTTCGCCACCTATGGCGGCGGCGCGACATTACTCTCGTCCTGAAGGGTAGAGGGCACAATGCAGCGGTACGTTCGACCTTACTGTATGGTTGCGAAACCTGTCCCCTAAGATCGGCGGACATGAAGAGGCTAGTTACGTTCGACCATCGGTACCTTCGCAGTTTGGCTCACATCTGGTGGGAACACCGCGTGAGTAACGAGCGTGTTCGACGCCTTGTTTACGGCCTAGGAAAAGGGAATGAACCGCTCAGCACCGTTATTTCCCGCACCAGGCTCTGATGGCTGGGCCAGGTTTTTGCGCATGCCAGCCCACCGAGTTCCACGACGTGCGTTGTTTGCTCACCAACCGATGACTTGGTTCAGAGGAATGAAGGCCCTCACTTCGGAGTTGCCCTCGGTTGGAGCGTCACAGCTCCCTGGTTGGGGTCCAAAAGACGATGAACACGTTTGGCTGGATACACTTGCTGACATCGCAAGCAGCCGACCTCAGTGGCGTTTCTGCTGTGAGTTTGTTTGTCCCTTCCCATTGTTTTTAGCCTCCTCCTCCACCTGCGATCTCATTTCGTAGCTTAAAACATACTAATTTTTCTTTTTGCCTAGTAGTCGGCTGGTAGCTTACCGGTACGATGCCTATCCGTTGTTGGTAGCTCAGCTGGCATGCAACTGTTGTATTTATTTTCCTTTTCCTTTATGTATTGCGGCTCAGTAGTTGAGATGTTTCCCACCTCCAGCTGAAGTGTATAATGATGATCATGGCCATTTAATTTCAATGCGGGACGTCCATCGCGACAAGACTGGATCCTAACGCGGTTCGATACCTAGTTTGCCTCATTGATCCATTCAGCTTTGCTGGGTGGTGATTTTGCACCTACAGCACCACTCTTACCAGATCAGTCAGTCGTTAGAGCCCTGACAAACACAGTATCCTGACTTTCCAGTTTGGATGTTGGAGTGAAGATGACACCTTATTCTATAAAACGAGCTCTTTGTAGCCAAGCGCCAAAACCCCACTTCCTTGCGGCCTGGTTTTTGAACCAAATAATGGCTGGGAACCCTAATCGTCCTCCTGTCTAGGTCTGGGTAACCTGACAGTATCCTGTCCACGCAATACAATGACGTTATCTTCAAGCAGTTTCTTGGTGTTCTCGCAATTGAGGAGGATAATCAACAGAGCTCTATCTGCTGCATCGAGCAGGGTGGATAAGTGTCTGAATGCTACTACTCTATCCTTCCCGTCTTCTCTTACTCCCTACCGCACATTTTTATCCTTACTGTCCTCTTCCAACTTCATTTTGAACCCCCTGTTTTCAGCCTCTCCCCTCAATTCTTTGCTCTCCCAGTCTTGTTTCAACAGGCCTTTGTCTCCTATTTTGCGGTCACACGCAATCATAGGGCGTCGCTCCAGTCCAGTTCACAGGTCCATTTTCAGCCAAGCGGATAAAATCAATTCAAGAGTTTCTGTTTATAGCCCTCGATCCTCGTTAAGACTGGCATGACTCAATATGCGTACTTTGCTGCAGATTGGTCAACAGGCATCGCTTTCCCGAACACTAGAGACCTGATCGATCGACATCCGCTACTTATCGGAAACCCGCCTCCAAGATTAGTGTCGTGTACTTACCTTGTGATTCATACATGCGACACTAGCGGCTCTTTCTCATTGCGTCTGTCCTGAGATGACGTAGCTTCAAATGCTGGTGTAGTATGTATCCGTAGGTCGTAATAGATCAGGGGGGCTGTAAAGCAAAAGTGATACCTCGTAGGCACATGGACAGTTACACCACAACCACCTTGTAAGTGTCGGAGCTGGATGGTCCGTGTGCTTGTGTTACACCTCATGGCTAGCTGGACGGTACTGTCACAGCTGCCGATAGAGGATTGAGCGCGAGGCGGCTAGATGGATGACGTGAAAGCGCATGATAGGTGGCTACTCCAACAACACCTAAGACGAAATGGGAAAGCAAAGGAAATAGGGAACGCCGGTCACACTATAAGCAATGCTCAACGACAACATACCTGTTGACTTGCTACTGCGACATTGAGACACGCTATAGCTGGTTAGGCGGGTGTGGATGTTGTTTTGAGCTCCCGGACTCAAGCTGCTCTGATCGATTGAATCCCACTGAACAGCCGGATGTGCGCTGTCAGATTGGCTGGCTCGTTCAAAGCATCGTAGTCGCATGGGGACAAATGGGGACTGTTTGTCATTGCCCACAAATTGTAACGCTGACTCGGTGAAAGAAGACTCCTATCACCAATCAAACGTGTTCCTCCGTTACATGAAGAGTACGGACACTAGTGCTTGCTGACGATTTGAATGCACACGT